AAAAAGTCTCATTCATATAGTAATGTCCCTAGCTTGCGCCCTATTTGGGACTAAGGCGGGTTTGGAACCCAACAAACGAAGCAGCAAGAAAACGGATGCGCGAAAGCCGTTGCGCTAACGCGCATCCGTTTTCTTGCTGAGCTCGAGCTTATGTGACGGAACGGAAAACGCTACTCAGTGCGGGAAGACAGTCGGCCGAGTGGGAACCCACCTGCTAAGGCTCGGAACCCGCCAAATCTGTCCTCAGATGGGCGAGCATTACTACCGAGCTTGCGAGTCTGGGGGAGGTGAACGAAAGGGAGCGCTCTCTTGCCGTATGGCGGAGATTGGCTAGGTGTGGAGCGAGGGACAGGTTCTAGTCAATTCTCGTCAGGGATCAATCGCTCCTATAGGAGCTCATTCAAGAGAGGGATTGACTAGTCGTCAAGCCCGAACGATAAGCGAACGGACTTTTAGAGCCGTGAGCGGAAGAAAGTAAATGCTTTACAAACTCAAGTTGGTAGGTGGCGCGGGGCACCCGTCTTTATCCAGCACATGCACTAAAGAGAATGGGGGGTGGTTGACCCATCCCTCAAAGCTCCCTTACCCTCCTTTCTGATATTTTTTATTACATTTTCTGAATCAGACTCAATCACAACTTTTGGCCATTTCTTTCTTTCTACCATCTGGACAGCCTCTCGTACAGCATAGGCTTCAGCAGCTGAAGCCGATTCTGTCTTCATCTTTCCCCCCTCTAGCTCTATAACAACTCCTCTGCTATCCCTTGCCACGATCCCAAATGCTGCATTCTTGGTCAGGCTATCAAAGCAAGCATCGCAGTTTAGTTTTACCCATTCTGCCTCAGGCTTCTGCCATTTCTCAGTCTGGTTGAGACCCTTTAGAATGGTGTCGTTCTGCCTTGGTCTTTACTTCCATGTATTCATGTGCTTCTTTTTCAGAGTTTTGCACAATGATAATAGGGCTTTCATATGTGTGTTCATATACTTCTCTACACCTGCTCTTCCAAAGGTTCCAACAGATAAAGGCTATCTTTGTCAAGATTTCCTTCTTCTCACTAGCAGGGATCTCCTTCAGAGTAAAGATTTGCTCCAGCCACCTATCCAGCGTGTCAAACTGCTCAGCTCTTATTTTATAACCAAAATAGGATCCAAACCATACCTGCCGGGCCTTGGGGCATAAGAACAAAATGTGCTCAATAGTTTCAGAAAAATCTGCTTTGCATCGGTGACAGTATGGTTCTGCAGTCACCTTCCTCTTGTATAAAGCTTCCTTTGCTTTGTAGGGATGGAGTTGTGACAGGCCCTCCATAGGAAGCTCTTTATTTTTGGTGTAGCCTCTATCTTCCATATGCCCTTCCAGACTGCTTTGCTTACTGAATGCGATGTTGAGGCTCTTCTATCTAAAAATCTTTCCTGCCCTTTTTTGGCTAGGATAGCAGCTTCTTGGAGTAGGTGTCTGAGATTTGCGTCCATGATAAGCAGTTGTGGTTTGTTGGATTTGGGGTTTCAAGGCCCTTCTCATACTTGGTGTAATAAGCGAAGGAGAGCAAGCCGCGATAGCTATAAGAAGAGGACGTTAAATAGTAGCCGCTGGGCGCTAGTATCCTAGTCTTAGAGGCGAAAGCCTTTCCTTTACCGAATTAGCTCTAAGTAGCCTAATCCCTATCTAAAAGCTCTTCATAATCTCTGTTGAGTAGATATGAGTATAGATTCTATTCTTCTATTAATGAAATGTATGAATAACTGATTCAAATGCTTACTAAAGCAGCCTCTACTGGGACCGATCCCCTAAGGAAAGCAATCCGACTACTAGCTGTGAAAGAGCCTCATGAGTAGAGGCCTGGTCTGTTAATCGGCTTAGGGGGCGAAGAAGGTGATAATATAGGCGAAGGGGGCGAGTGGACTCCCTTTCCTTCGTTATCAGAGAGGGGCCCCCTTATGGAAGCGGGGCTTATTCATTGGGAGAGTGAGTGGGTGTTGCTAAACGTCCGCCATGAGTCCTGTAAGTACGAATGGGATAAGGACTTTATCCTTACTTTTTAAGGCTCTGTGCTCCATGCTTGCTTTTCTCCATCTCCTGGGTACTCTGCATGGCACTTTCTAAAGGATTCATGATTTGTTTCCTTACTGTACGCGTTCGCGTTTCAATTTAGTTTCACCCTTTCTTTTTTGGGTAAGAAAGGTCAACCCTTTGACTCGTGTATTTCTGAGGTAAGAAGGGAAGGGCAACCCCTTAGGACATAAACAACGCTTTAGGTCCATAGGGTTAGGTTAGCCCTGACCGTAGCAAACAGTAAGAACTGCCCTCCAAAGGGTAGCTCGAGCGATACAAGACTAATCCTCTTTCATTTCCGGATTGGAACGAGGGATTCCCTGGGTTGGGAAGCCCGAGTGGAGCTTTCTTTTAATCTTAGCTACCTTTGCTTGCAGTTTTCTAGCTAACTCCTCTCCTTCTCTAACTATGAAGATGATTCGCCAACCTTAAAGAATGTAGCCACCCCCTTTTTAACACTTGCTAAAGGGGGCCAGTGTTTGTGGGGGTATTTCTTGTCTTGCTGGGATAGGTACGAAGTGAGGGAATTAGCTGCTACGAAGCTACTGAAACGAAGCTTACTGACCGAAGCGAAGACTGGGCGAGCTTTCCTTTGCACAGTAGGAGTTACGAAACAAACCGAAGCTTTAACTCCAACTGAGGGTCGATTACATTGAGGCGAGCTTTTCTTTTCACAACTAGGAGTTTAGCCTGAGGCGAAGCTACTGGTACGAAGCTTACGGTCACGGCTCGACAAGTCCGTTCGCTTATCGGTCTGGCTTGGCTTGACGACTAGTCAATCCCTTCGCTCCAAAACAAAAGCAAGGTTTCTTTCATTGAAGAGAAGTGACTTTGATCGGTTGCTGTTAAACAAGCAGGAGTTTCATCAAAGGGTATTCTCCTTCGGTCTAGTCAATAGCAAGGAGTTCAGTAAACAGAGTTCCAAAGGAAGATGCGAAAGCAGGTCTTTAGAAAACGGTATTATTCTTCCAGTAGTACTGTCAATAGGTCGAGATTCAGTAAATAAAGAATATGCGCGGAGGTCGTGGAGGCGGTGAGTTTCTGAGTTCGTGAGCTAAGCCACTCTTCTGGGAGTTCGTGAGTTTCAGAGTTAGTAGCCCTTGTAGATGGGGATTTAGTGATTTGCCTTATTTACTATAATAATAGTCAGAATTGATTTCCTGAAAGCGATAATCACGCGAGACGGCGACCCCTTCTAATACCACCTTTACGCCTATGGCGAGATCGAAGAGAAAGAGGAAGAGCGGAATCAGCGGCCCCACTAATGATTGTTAGGCCCCACTCATGGGAGCTAGGCCCCATCTTTATTGAGTAAGTTCGTTCCTTGTTTAAGCACTATAGAAAGAATTGTTCGACTTCAAGCGAGTAACCAATTTGGTCGAATCGAGAACCCGCGCCCTCATCCAGGGAGATGAAAGGCGATTCCAAGAGAAAGCGGGGTTTAAGCGATCGAAAGCGAATACTCTAGTTTCTGAGTCCCTTGCCTTTCTAGCGGCAGGACATATATTCCATACACCACCGGAATACGGGAGTTAAGCGAGATCTCTGGTTGATTGATTCCTTTCTATAAGACGACACATGAGAAGGATTGACCGAAGGCTTGTTAATACGGGAGCTGCTAGGCCAGCGGTATCAGTCCCTCTTTCGAGTTCTGCTGTTGGATCTAAACGCGTGGAAGCATCAAGAGCTCCTTTCTCGTTTACGGATTTTAGCCCTTTAGTTGATGACTTCCAAACCAAAGGTTCGCCACCCGGTCTTCCAAGGCAAGGAACTCCTCCAACTCAGGTTTAACAGGACAACAACTCAAAGAAGAGCTTCGCTCTCTTCCTTTCTCGCTTTTGAACACTTCATCTCAGAAACCCCAGCTTTCGTAATAACATCTCTTTCATCGCTTGATACCTCGCTTTTGGACAACAACTGAAAGCGCTTCGCTTTGAACCCGGCTTTGTAATTCCAGCCTTGGGTTGATCGCTGCGCTCGTTTAACAGGACTTAAAGGGAAAGGCAACTCAAACAGCTGCGCTTTCGAACTCTTGGAATTCCTGGATTGGATCGATCGCTCGACAGAAAGGGACTTCGACCAGATCCGTTAAACACCAGCACCAGCTGAGCGGTAAAAGAACAAAATCTCTCCGGACTTTCTTCCTTTCTCGCTTTGGAACAACACATCTATCTCTTCGATAGAACAACCCGATCTTTGGAACTCTTTCAAAGCTGGGGCTGGCAAGCATGGATCTGAATGTGGTTCTTACCTCTCCCGTTGGTAAACCTCGATTGCAGAGTAGAAGGCAAGGGGCTGGCGAGCGTGGGTATTACCTCAAGGGTTCGGAAATGTGGAATAGCTCCCTTGCTGAGTAGTGGCTGTTGCACCTCTGTGGGTATGCCCTTTCGGGCTGGGAGTGTGGAATGGGAAATTCCATTAGTATATTGCCAGATAAGGCCCCTTCCCAAGTCGTGAGGATAGATCACAATTGAGGGGTATGAAACGTCGGTTTTCCATATATGACTTTTTGAGGCCAAATCCGGGGAAGGAGAAAAACCGGCTCAGAAGTCATGTCTTCCACCACTATTTGTCTTGGCCTAATCGGCCGCTCTTGCACTTCCCGTAGGGATTAAGCAAGCCTGCTGTTGTGGACGAAAGCGGTTAACTCACTGTAGTCGGACCTTCCACCCAGTAGCCGTTGCGATATATGATCCCTTTCCCTGTCGCCTCTAAAGCAAGCAACTGCGGGTATTGCACCTTTACCCATTATCTTGCCCTTGGTCTACGAATGTTGCTATACTGTCCTTTATAGAAGACCCTGGAGGGCTAAAGCCAAAGTACTGGAGAGTGGCTTAGACCTGTTACCTGTACTGGGGCCTAACTACAAGAACTCGCTTTACTAACATCTACAAGGGTCGTCGCTCCCATTCGCCTGACCGCTTTCTCTTCAATCTCTCCATAGGGGTATTGGAAGGCGACGAAGGTTTCTCGTCTTCTCGCGCTTTTACCTTGGATCTCGCCTTCGGGAGAAACAAGTCCTACAAGGGTATTAGTTTTCGCGCCCAAATTCTTATCGCTTTCAGTCGAACGATTCCTGATATTGCTGCTTCCTTTAGAAAGGACTTAATCAATCTATCCTATCAATTCGCCTAGAGATCTGAACTCCCCTACTACGCTTTTTTTATTTACTGGAGATGCGCCTAGACCTGAGACCGCTTAACCGCTTTCTCTTCGATCGAGCCTTCGCGATTTAGCAAGTCCTACACTGATTCCGCTTCTTCCGCTTATTTTCTTCGTCTTGCCGGTCGGGTATACAAAGGACGTAATCCTTCATTTTACCATTACATTGTAACTCCTAAGGTCAATTATATCGAGCCTTCGGATGTCGCCTATTATATTAAGAAAAGCAACTCTCTGAAGACGCCTACTCGACCTTGAACTCCTATTCATTTAATACTGGATCTAGATCTTGCCCCCGCTTTTGCACTCGACTTTACAATCCCGCTTCCATCTAGCCGGTGGGGTTGGTGAAGTCTTTTATGAGGGGTCGGATTCTGGCAAGGGAGATTTTCAGGCTCATATATTATGTCTTTGACCCGAGGTACGAGTCTTGGCCTAAACGCCCGCTCGCTCTTTCCTTCGATCTTTCGGGGTAGGGAAAATAAGTCGTGGGTTTGAGAGGTCGTTCTGAGGGGAATACCGATTAGCAGCATAGGTTATCTTTCGAAGTAGAAATACCGGATGGGATTGTTAGTCCTGGGCCAAAAGAAGAAGACAAAGGAGCCGGTCTTACCGAGGTATGCCTTCGTGTTGGGAAACGTGGCAAAGCGGGTTGTTGACTAAATACCAAGGTCAATTATATCGAGCCAGGGGTTCTGGCTTAGCCGGTTTCGTAATACTGACTGGAGCTCGGGAGTATATGCTGGTCTGGAGTCTGGGGCTGGAAAGCATGGATCTGAACGCGGTTCTGCCTCAACGGGTTGAGGAGTATAGAGTTGAAATACCAAGAGTCGTCGACAAGCCAGCAAATGAAGAGAGGATCGGCCCATCGGTCCTGGGAATTACCCTGGAGTCGTGGACAAGCTAGCCAAGAGACAAAAGGCTAGGCCAACTAAGACTCTCGTCGGTAAATCTGTTAAAAGCCTGGGTTAGAAGTATGAGTTTAGTTCCAACGAAGCCAACTGGTTGCTTCGCTTCCTGACGATCAATCACAAGGAAGGGTAGGCAAACGCAGGTTTAGCATATATGAGATATTGGGAAATCCGAATTTGCCTCAGTTCCGGCTCATATTCTGTCTTCGGCCTTTACTTTAG